TTGATCTGCCTGTTCTGCTCCCCGCTCTGTCTCTGGTGAAGCCTCTCACCCTCCACATCTCTGGCCTGTACCCCAGTTCTGTATGAATAAAAATAAATAAATCTTTAAAAAAAAATCAGCAAAAGACTTGGACATTTAACGTGAGAAAATACTGTAAGCTGAGAGCAGCACATGCAAAGATGCTCAACATCAAACCACAATACAATATTGCAGCTGACCCTTGAACAAGAGTTTGAGACGCATGGGTTTACTTGTACACAGATTTTCTCATAAAAAGATTACATCAGGGCCCTTCCTGGTGGCACAAAGGGTTAGGACACAGCACTGCAAGCTGGCCGCAGCCGCTTCAGTGCAATTTCAGTCCCTCCACAGAGGTGACCCACATGGCGTGGCAGACCTCTCCTGACCAGCCCACTGCTCCCCTCAGCAATGTGCTTAGTCAGTCGACCTGTTCTGCTCCCCACTCTGTCTCTTGTGAATCCTCTCACTGCCCTTGCACTTCTGGCCTTTATCTCAGTTCTGTATGAATATTATAAATAAATCTTAAAAAGAAATTACATCAAATTACACTATCAATAAATACAGTACAGTAAATGTATTTTCTGTGTCTTATGATTGTCTTAATGATATTTTTTCTCTAGTTCACTTCCTTGTAAAGAATACAGTAAATATAACTCAATACATATGTACCTGGTATTGACAGTGTCCGGTCAATAGGCCATTAGTAGGTTAAGTTTTGGGGTATGTGCAGATTTTCTGAGAAGTAGAAGTCAATGCCTCAAACCTCCACTTTGTTCAAGGGACAACTCTACTGTACACCTACTAGAGTAGCTAAAATACTACTGATCACACCAAGTATTAGAGAGGATGGGGAGCAAATGTGGCCTATGAGAACCCTCAACAGTACCAGTGGGAACGTAAAATGTCAACGCTTTGAAGTGTTCCAAAGGGTCTTGAAAAGTTCAGTGTGGACTATGGTGATGGCACATGGGTGATTTGGTGATGGGAAGCCCAAGGGGATTGCAAATGAGATGGAAAAATGCACAAAATGATGTAAAAATAAACTATTATATATATAAATAAATAATAAAAAAGTTCAGTGTACACATTCACTTGACACATTCATTTGACACATTCTTATACACATCTGCAAGAAAACTGAAAGTGTACACCCATACAAAGAATTATACATAACTGTGCACAGTAAGTTCATTTGTAAATCAAAAACAGGAAACAACCCCAGTGAATAGACAAACACACTGTGCAGTATCTATAACAATGCAATACTACTCAGCTACTGCTATTTACAAGGATAAATTTCAAAATAATGCTGAAAGAAGCACAAAAGTACATCTTGTATGTTTCCATTTATTTAAAATTTTAAACTAATCTTTTGTGACTTAAGTAGATCAGAGGTGACCTGAAGAGAGAGGAATTATAAAGGAGAAAAGAAAACAGAAGAAACGGTATGGTTACTCTCTTGATTCTGGTGTTGACTGCATGGGTATTTCATCGGGTGTGTAGTCCAATTTTACCAAAACTCTGCACTTAAAGTTCATGTCTAACTCAATAAGGATGAAAAAATGTCATTCAGTAGAAAACCTCGTCTCAGCGCGGAGCCCCCCAACTTCACGAACTGCCTGTTCCCCTCGCTCGCCTCCCCACCGCGGACTAACGTGTGCCTTCCCCTTCCGAGAACCCTGAAAGGTTGGCACGCTTACTACGGCGGAGCCCCACAGTGCTGACCCGCGGATCTATGGGTTCTCCGCCCTACCACACAAACCTCATATGTCTATTACCTCCCACCCGCAATGCTCAGCCTCGCCGGCCAGTGACAAGTACCCCCGCCCACCACTCCTCCGCTCAGTCCACGTCCCAGACACTCATCACGAAGCCTCGGTGGCCCCAGCACTTCTCGGTCCTCTAACAGGCACAGAGAGCTGCGCCCCTCAGCCAGCTAACCCCCAGATCCGCCGGCGCGCGGGGACTCGAACACCCCCAACCCGGGTTACCTGCCACCGGCTGGCCGCGCCGCGGGCAGTTCAGCCATCGCGGCGGGATCTTGTTGTGAGCCATGTCTTGGGGCCACGCAGAGCCGCCCCTCCGCCGACGCTGGCTGCCCGCCGCCGCCTGCTCGCGGTCCGCTGTCCACCAGGCGCCGGACACACCAGATTCCGGGTCGGCGTCGTAACCCAGCCGCTCTTACTCCGTTAACGTCAGGGGCGGCGCGCCACTTTCATTCAGGACCAACTCCGCCGCTCCAGGCGAGCCCACAATGCACAGCTACTTCCGCCCCGGAGGCCCCGCCCCCTCCGTTCCGAGGTCAGAGGGGAAGGCAGGGCAACTCGACGGAGAGGTGCGAAGGAGGTACGGCCCGGGGAAATAGTGAGGCGGGTCTTACCTCGCCCGCCCCGCCCCGCCCCGCCCCGCCCCGCCCGCGCGTTCCCAGAGCGGGATTGGACCGGCTCTGCGCGTGCGCGACTGCGCCGGCTAGGACCTGGGGAGCCGTGTTCTGTTTTCCAGTCTAAACCGCGTATAGTAGTCCTAGGAGACGTGATCTAGTCGCGCCTCCTAGTCAAGTCTCTTGTCTTGCGTACGCCGATCCAGGTTTCCATAAAAGCATCCAATTTATTGACGCAATGCCCTACCCCTTTCCAAGGGCCTTTGTTCCCCTTTTCCAGGCACATTAGGCGTCGGCACCGGACCTGCGTTTGTTGGGGAATTTGGGGAGTTCTCTCTGATAACGTGTCGCCACAATGAGTGTTAAGGGATTGGAAGGTTGAGAGAGCGGAGTTACCTGATATGAGTAATTTCTTGGGGAGTACTTCTGAGGCTCCTGAAGTATCTGAAGTAACCCCAAAACATTTTTAAGAGCTTTGGTTTATGTAGTCCTAGAGTCAAGTTTCAACGCGTATTTGAGCGTCTGGGAGGGTGAGTGCATCAAAATTGCTGACTATAATTGCAAAGGAAGGAATCGCCCAGTGGAGCACCACTGTGTGGCAATGTCGTCCTCCGTCTCAATGGAAGCATTTTATGAAGTCTGGCTTGTTGTCTTCAGTTACCGCCACTAGAGTATTCACTAAAACTGGGTGATGGCAAATTGACGATATCATACATGATGGTAATATAGCAGTTTCTCGTCTCAATCCAATGCTTTAGTGCAACTACAAGAACATAAGGTTTGGCAGAATGTATTTTAAAGAGTAGGTGATACGCCTGAATGCCTGGAGCACCTCCAGTAAATTCAGCATTCTCCCATAAAGTCCAGTGGTTGTCTCTGAGAGCCTGAGTTAGAAATCACCCTTCTGGTCTGTCCTGCTGAGACCTTTAGGTGAAAATGTTAGTCTTGCCCGGACTCCATTTCCTTGCAGACCACTAATCTGCCTAAATGATGCCCAATTCTCTTCTTTGCTCACAGGGTACAGTTCCAAGTCTCCTTGGAGGATGGAAAAGTAAGCCTGCTCCTAGAAGAATGTCTCATTTCCCCTTCTGAAACTGACTCCGCTTGGACACTGTTTTCACAAACATGCTGTCTACCCAAGGAGTTCCATTCCTAACGCAGGGAGAGCTTCCCTGGGTGCCTTACCACTGATGGACAACACAGTTGACTATAAGGCAGCAGTGTCCACTACCCAGTGATGCCCTCTACATCCTCAATGTCTACAGATTAGAGGGACCTTGTCGCTCCCTCCTGCCTATAGAAGAAAGGAAGAGAGTGGGACCAAACAGTCCCCCTCCAGCCTTGCTGTGAAGTTTAGCCTGCCAATCCAAGCATCTCTGTCCATGGTTGATTAAGGCCCAAACCTTTTTATGCAGACAGCCAGCAAGCCAGGGTGGTCAGAAAGAAGTCTTCCCAAAAGTTGATAAAGTGTCAGTGAGGCACATTAGCTTTTTGGGTCAATACCAGTTTTCCCTAGCTGCCAGAGACTAAACTCCCTTTCCCATTCTGAGGACCCACCATCTCCTCCTTTTGCCTGTACTTTATCAGCTTAAGTTGGTATGAGAAGTTCAGACCTTAGAAAAGACATGTTCACTGATAAACTTACAATTCAGCAAAACCTCTCAAACTATATATAAGGTAGAGCAGTGATTGCTTCTCTGATTAGGGAAAGGACAGACGTTTAGGGTGTGATGATCTCTCCTTTGAAGGGGCTCAGATGTGAAGTTCAGATGAGATTAAGTCCCTCTAAGAAAAATTTTGGCAGTTTCCCATTCATCACAGGAGAGTTTATTAAAGACATTTGCATACACACAAACAAATAAGGCAAAGGCTTATTAGGAAAAAGAGAGAAAGGAAAAAAGAGGTGCCTACATAACACAGCCGGGCAGAGCTGCCGCCTGTGCCAGAGCAAGGGGTATTCGTTGATAGTGTTCTTTACAGGGGAAAGTGTTCATTCCTTTGTGGAATTTTAATCTTTGGGGTCAGTTTGGGTTGACTTTCTGTAACAGATAATCCTTAACCCTACCTTAGATTCCTAGGAAATTCAATAGCTAGTTTAATGACTTGTTAGTCATCTCTATCCCCACCTCTTATGCTTGTCCTTGTAAGACCAGCATCTAAATGTTTCTACTCTAAGCTTCCATAACCTTCCTTAGAAAAGGGCAAAGGCCATGACAGAAGTTTCTCATCAGCTTCAAGGACTTGAATTACTCTTAGTTCACAATACAATGCATGCTAGAACAGGGTGTGTTGAGGAGGCCAATTCTGAAAATCTTGAGGTGCTCTAATTTGGGCATCTTCACAAAAAAATATATGAATAGAGGTTGATTAATATGCCTACCTGTGTATTCATGGGAGATATCCAGGAAACTCTTAAGTCCCCAAGATCACCCAAGCCACCCCTTAAATATTACCTTCAGTTATAGTCAAAAAAAGATGTTGGGCCCACCCTGGTGGCTCAGCAGTTGAAAGCACAGCACTAAGAAGCTAAAGCCACTTCCGCATGAGTTTGATCCCCGCCTGCCCCGGAGGTAACCATATGGCAAGGCAGACCTCTCCTGACCCACCTCCTGCGCAGCTCAGCAGTGTACTTCATCAGTTGGCCTGTTCTGCTCCCCACTCTGCCTCTGGTGAATCCACTCACTGCCCCTGCATTTCTGGCCTATACCCCAGTTCTGTATGCACAAATAAAATAAATCTTTTTTTAAAAAAAGATATTGAGGGGAGACATGGGATGGGAAGGTGATCAGTTATTGGAGGTTACCAGGAAAAACATAGTAAAGGGTAAGGTTTATAGATCAAGGTACAGAGAGGGAGACACCCTTAGCAATGAAGATTTTCCTTCTTCAAGGTTTTTTTGCAGGGTTTCTCCTGTGTGTCCGCTGGTCATCAAAAATAATCAGCTCGGGCCCTCCCTGGTGGCGCAGCGGCTTAAAGCACAGCACTAAGAAGCTTAAGCCACTTCTGCATGAGTTCAATTCCCGCCTGTCCCGGAGGAGATCCACATGGCGAGGCAGACCTCTCCTGACCTGCCCACTGCTCCCCTCAGCAGTGTACTTCGTCAATCTGCCTTTTCTACTTCCCGCTCTGTCTCTGGTGAATCCTCTCACCCTCCGCATCTCTGGCCTGTACCCCAGTTCTGTATGAATAAATAAATAAATCTTTAAAAAATAAATAATCAGCTCAAAATAATCCTTAATGCCAAAGCAGTGGATTTTGAGGTGGTATTCCTCTGCCAATAAATAGGAAATTTCAGCTCTGGCTTTCTTGGAGTTCTCTGCCACTATTCCTACCCTGGAATTCTATCTTGAGTCTAAGGTTCAGACAGCACATCTCAAAGAAGGAGGCAAAGGAAAAGGTTAGCATCTAGTCACTAATGATATGTTCATGTGACTTGCCCAGACCTTGACATGGCTCCCTGAAGTCCAGCAGCTCTCTTCTGCTCCTTGGGCACACTCTGGAAAGGGCACCTCTCATGATGTTGGAAACATGTGACTCAGGCCTTCTTCTTGGTTCCCTTATGCCTGTTCCTCTCTTACACATTATAAGGGAGTAGATTAATGAAGTAATGTCCAATGCCTCTATCCACGAAGAGAACAGGCTCAAAGAAAGAATTAAATAAATACATGTGACTGCACAATGTTTTGATAATTAAGTTTTTTGAGTACCATAACAAAATGAACCTATGAAAATGAAAGGACCATCAAAGATGATTGTTGTCTTCCTGTCCTACATATGAATTTCGCCAATTTTCTGACCAGCTACAAGAATCTTAAGCAGCATTAAAAGGGTATGTCTTGAATCATTTCTCCTAATTAGAGAATTCAAATGTATCTGCATTAAAAGTGAAAACTGGCCCTCCCTGGTGGTGCAGCGGGTTGAAGCGCAGCACTAAGAAGCTAAAGCCACTTCTGCATGAGTTCGATTCCCACCTGCCCCGGAGTTGACCACATGGCTTGGCAGACCTCTCCTGACATGCCCGCTGCTCCCCTCAGCAGTGTACTTCATCAGTGGGCCTGTTCTGCTTCCTGCTCTGTCTCTGGTGAAGCCTCTCACCGCCCCTGAGCCTCTGGCCTATACCCCAGTTCTGTATGCACAAATAAATGAATCTTAAAAAAAAAAGCGAAAACTAGAATTGCCTGTAATCTCTGTAATTGAAAACTGAACCATACTTGGCCACTAGGTGGAGCTAAAAACCAGATAATCCAACTCCTTCCGCCACTGCTTTTGGTAGACAGCAAAGTAGGTCAGTGCGGCTGCCAAAGGTTGAATTGGCCCTGATTCACCAAACTCATAATAACAGAAGTCAGTCTAACCTATAAGACGAGTAAATAACAGTGGCCATCGAGATTCGTCTACTGTGTAGCTTACATAAATCTCTTCACTGGAAAATATGGAAGATTTAAAGGAAAAGTAAATAACTTGCTTTCTAAGCATTACTGTCAAGGCATGAAGGTTTTCAAAGATATAAAATATCTGTTTCTGTGTGCCATAAGTTTACTTCTGTTATTAAATTATATGGGACATTGTCAGCCTCTTCACTGAAGAATAATAAAATCTTATATGTGAGTTGTGCCTTATCTTCCACAAAGTATTCAGATTTCCTAATTTGCGTGAATCCTCAGAGTTCTGTGAGACAGACATTGCTCCTTCTCCATTTTACAGCTGAGGAAACAGACTCAGAAAGATTCAGTGACTTGCCCTAAACCTAACAGCCTGGAGACTGGAGAACCCACAGTGAGGTGAAGTGTGAGGCGGAAGGGCGAGGCCCCAGGAATCCTCTGCTCCGATTCAGCCAAGTTCTGCCACCTCAAAAGATCATCAGATCTGGAGAGCAAAAAACCACCCTTATGCTGGTTTTTTTGTTGTTCTTTTTCTACTTGAAAAGTAATTCTATGGTCCCTAGGGTGGAACACATTAAACTTCAGTGAACTCACTCCCCTGAAGGCTTACTGAAATGCCATTCTGATTTGTATTTCTCTGGTGGGCTTAACATCTGGTGCTGACTGGTGGACCATACCTTAAAACCTATCTGGTGGGGAAAGCTAATCACTAACATCCACAAGGGAAAGTATGTTCCCAAAGTAAGAAATGGACAACCCATTTATCTGCTATGGTTGTGATTTGAGATGTTCACTGGTGGGTGGGCATTAGAAAGGAACGCTATTGCTTCATATTGATCTCCATCTGACATCATTTTATGCCTCTGGCTTAGTTGAAGCCTATCAGATAAAAATTATATATAGGCTCTCCCTGGTGGCACTGCAAGTTAAAGCACAGCACTGTGAAGCTGGCCTCCTGCACGCCTCAGTGTGAATTTGATCCTGGCCCCCACCACCACCACCATCCCAGGTGATCCACGAAAGCACAGCAGATCTCTCCTGTCTCCCCCACGGCTCCCCTCAGCAGTGTGCTTCGTCAATCTGCCTGTTTCTGCTTCTTGCTCTGTCTCTGGTAAATCCTCTCACTGTACCTCTGGCCTGTACCCCAATTTATAATTTGTTTCTTCGATCATGTGGGCTTTTTCCTCCTGATAGCACAACTGGTGGCTCAGACAGAACCACCCCACATTTCCTTCACAATATCTGATATGAAGCTGATACTTTATGTCTCTGTTATATGAAACCACAATCTCTACCTCATTACATGTAGGCAATAGGACAGTTAATCCTGTTTCCCCAAAAATAATCACTGGATTTGTATACCGTTCCCCATACTGAAACATTCTTTTATCTCCTTGCAGATTCCACTTGCTTGCTAAGAGGTTACTAAAATATTGCAGGTGCTTAAAATCAATTTGAGAGATTTTGCAGTTCTTCTATGTAGTGTTTTATAATTTACAAAAGAATTTCTCCTTCATAATGACTATGTTTATAGATATCTGACTTTTTTTTTTAAAGATTTATTTATTCATACAGAACTGGGGTACAGGCCAGAGATGCGGAGGGTGAGAGGATTCACCAGAGACAGAGCGGGAAGCAGAATAGGCAGATCGATGAAGTACACTGCTGAGGGAAGCAGCGGGCGGGTCAGGAGAGGTCTGCTGCGCCATGTGGCCACCTCCGGGGCAGGCGGGGATCGAACTCATGTGGAAGTGGCTTTAGTTTCTCAGTGCAGTGCTTTAATCCGCTGCGCCACCAGGGAGAGACCGATATCTGACTTTTATACTCTATCACTTTGTCATAGTTCCAGACAAGCTAAATAATGATGACTGAACCAACTTCAGAGCAACTGACTCAGAATTCCTGGAGATGAGATCCAGGTGTCCATGTATTTTAAATTCCCTCCAGATGGTTCTAATCTGCAGAGAAGGATGGTAACTACTTCTTTAGATCACTCCCTAATTTGATATTACCTACCTGTCATTTATTATGAAGAATTTTTTGCAAGTACACCAAACAAAATATTTCATCTTATTTTCCTTCAGTAAGTGAAATAAGTGCCCTAAAATTGCAAAGCATTGGCTGTTATACTCTTTCAGTTCCTTTACAGAGAAATATTAAGTACTCGAAATAAAAGTTGAAAATAATTGAGAAAGGAAAGGAAAATTTTTGATTCCTTGTGTTAACAGAATAAATAGAAATGAGCTAATGCACAGAGAAACAAAATAGCATGCCATTAAGCAGACAGCCAGGGAGCCACAAATCCTAGCTCTCACGCTCACTCACTGGTGACCTTCAGCAAGTTACATAATCTCTGCACTGGTTTCCTCTTCCCAGAAATGAGGATGCTGATGCTACTTGCTTCATGGAATTGTTAATGTGTGCAAACATAGGACACACAGCAGCATTGTGGGTTACCCAGGGGTGTTACTGCATAGCATTTCCCACAGGGCAATAATATCATTATCTGATTTCTGCCCAATCATATCTCCAATGCTTAGAACAGAGACCTATCACAATATGTTCTCTCCATAAATGCTTATTATTGTGACTTTTTTAAAAAAAAAAAATGGGGAAAAATGAATATCCATCATGTATATGTATGCCTCTCAAAAATATTGAATCTAAAGCTAAAAAATATAAAATTTGCTTGTAAATTGTTACCTTTCAAAAGGTGACTTGAAAAGCACTTGAATGCTACTGTGGTAAACTACTATAAAATTTAAAAACTGATAGTACCACTTTAAACATATGATTAAACAGTCACATCTCATCATCCAATTTTGACCTTAGATTAGAAGAATATGCAAAAAATGAAAATACATTAATATTAACATGATAGTGTCACAGTGATTTTACCCTTTTTCTCAGACTTCTCTATTATTACACATTATTTCTTACACTATTATTTTTCCTTTCCAATATTAAACAGAGTAGCTTCATCTGCTCCTCAGGAAAAAGACAAGACAGGAAATCATCCAACAGTAAAACTGTACTTAGTGTTCTGATATTGCCCATTTAAAAGCTGAAAATTTTTCATGAAATGCCTTCAGCCTCTCCTCAATTTGTGAAAAAAAAAATTATTTAGGAAGATTCTGCCTTATGAGCAACTCTTAACCCTTAGGGAACTGGATCAAAGCAATGTACACAGTGTGCCTACGAGGCATCCTAAAAACACTGGTATTTTCTTCAATAAACTTCTGTAATGGGGAAAAATTATTATTCCATGCAAGCTTGTGAAGCCTTTATCACTTTGTAGATTGAGCAACCCTTGGAGACAAGGCAACCCACTGGCTAAACAGCCTGGAAACAGCTTCCAGACTAATCAACTGCCTGGAAACAGTTTTTGGACCAATCAGCTATCTAGAAACAGTACCTGGACCAATCACTGTTTCCTGAGTACTATTTCTCCTGAAATCTGCCACTGCTACCTTGCAAACCAAAACCAGGAAAAGAAAACGTAGCTGAATTATTTTACACCGACTTCCCATGTCCCTCCCCATCTCTGTGTCCCTTGGCGGAATTCATTATGTACCAAGAATGTTTTAGCTATATCACATCCTTTGTGGAA